TAATTCTAACTCCCCTATAGCTAGTAAAATCCATTTCAGTAAACCCACAGTACCCTTACAGTACGGCTTGTAAAACAGCTCTTTAAAGGGAGCATTAGAGGGCCATTCTGGTCAGTTTACATGTTCTTTACACGCATTTAGCTAATTGCTGAGCCGTCTGCTGAGGCAGTAGAGCAGCAGGAACAGTCTTATGTATTTATGTTTGCATGGCTTATCAGTGAGGGATAGGACAGGTAGGCTTTTAACTTTTGATAAGGAGAGTTCATAAAGGTTAACTCCTTTATTTAATACTCTGCCTGCCAGCTGATTACAAAAAGTGATTTGAAGAATTCAGTTATAAAGAAAACTCAGTGTCAGCTTGGATTAGGTTTTTATTTTTATGTACAAATTCATAATCTTAGATCCACAGTCGAATCTCTTAAACGTTCCCGTGATCGAGCATTTGCATGCTGGAGCCCTAAATTAAATGTACTGTGAAAAGCACTTTGTGTCTCGCTATACAAATAAAGTTTATGCATGCTGGCCAGTAACTGCACAGCTGGCATGTTCGTAAAAAACGGTGCATGCTTTTGCCTGTTACCTCTGCGTGTTGGTGTTTGTGTGTGTGTGTGTGTGTGTGTGTGTGTGTGTGTGTGTGTGTGTGTGTGTGTGTGTGTGTGTGTGTGTGTGTGTGTGTGTGTGTGTGTGTGTGTGTGTGTGTGTGTGTGTGTGTGTGTGTGTGTGTGTGTGTGTGTGTGAAAGGTCAGAGGTCAGAGGTCAGGAGTCAGGTTTGGCTATCGACCACTAACCCTGCATCTGTTAGATTTTCAGTAAGTTGCTCAGTGACACTCACACAGAAAAATTGTGGAAATCTCCTGCTTCCTGGACTTCAGTCTAATTTAAATCTACCCAAAAATATTTCCGTAAAGATTTTAATTCTAATAAACTGCCTCTCTCACACACCTGACGTTTTGCACACAACAGCATAAACACTAGCTGTGTTCTAATTGGATTACACCAGAGTGTGTGTGTGTGTGTGTGTGTGTGTGTGTGTGTGTGTGTGTGTGTGTGTGTGTGTGTGTGTGTGTGTGTGTGTGTGTGTGTGTGTGTGTGTGTGTGTGTGTGTGTGTGTGTGTGTGTGTGTGTGTGTGTGTGTGTGTGTGAAGCCTCATTTCCCCTGGCTCTCTGCTCTACTCACCACACAGGGAGCTGATCAATACTGATGCATGCACTCCTCCAGCTTTTGAAACACAGCAGAGAGCAAGGAATAGGTTTACTGTTTTTATCCTTAGAAATATATAAATAATGACTCAAGTGTCCGTGCAGGAAACGTGACTAACACATATACATATATACAGCATTCTCCACGCTATTAACCTTGGGCAACATTCAGCATTTTGTTGCACTGGGCTGCATTGTGTGAATTGAGAGAGACCTGGAATAAAAGCAGCAGAAGATTGTGCTTGAATTTCTGTATTAGGAGTTAATATTAGCCAATGTTAGATATAGGCCTCTAGGATGGAAAGAACCACGCTGAAATATTGCATTGACCTCAGATTGACATTTTACCCAAGAGTTATTTTCTTCTTTCAAGAAGAGCAAGTGAAGAGGAAATAAAGTGCTGCAGTGTATTACTTGTCATAGCTGCCTACAATGGGGATGTATATGAATGTACAGTAATGGCAGTGCTGAGGTCAGTCTGTATAAGGTCCAACATAGTGCAGCCTGGAGGAGACTGGAGGTCCAGAGCATCGACCGGGTGCAGGGAGGCTTTCACAGACCTTACTATTTCTCAGTAACAACCAATACAGTAGAGCAGGGGTGTCCAAACTAATTGACCATTTTGAATCGGCCCTCAGCAAATTCAAAAACTATAATGCAGTATGGCCCTCAAATGAAACTTGTGCTGGTCTTTTACTTCTTAAATATAGATGTAAACAGATATAATACAGTAGTATTCATGTGTTAATAAGCCCACTTTTCAAATACATTCAGTCAATTAAAGCTGAAAACATTTTCTAACAAATCTAAGTTGATAAGAAAAAAGCTCAATAACTTATTTTCATAACAAGCTTGAAATATACCCTTCCTATTTCCTCTTATGATAAGCAATCTGACGCCTCTGTTGTAAGGAATGAGCTACCAACAAAATAATTGAAACCCTAAGGAGAGCTGTGATGTACGCTGATTAATAAGCACAATTTACTTACATTTGATTGATTTTGCCGACTTATAATTAAATATATGAGCCAATCACCTCTAGTGAGGGCCCAGCCCTTCGTATATTTTTCTGTATGTGGCCCTCGGTGAAAAAAGTTTGGACACCCCTGCAGTAGAGCAACATCTGATTGGTCAGTACAAGATGTAAAGATATACGTACAGTTTTCAGGATAAATAATTTAATTAGAAAAGACATCAGACACACAGATCTATCCAACATTGTTTATTCGAAGGTTCTTTTTTTGGACTTGATAGATGATGTGAGACTGGATTACAGTTTAAATGCTTTGATCCTCTCATCAACAATCAGAAATACGTTGAGTGGCACAGCACGGAAATTCAGAGATAACATTTTTCATCTTCTCAGTGGTCATGTGATCTGTAGTACGTACGCATTGTGAGCACTAAGGGGCGAAATAATAGGTATAAAAGCTGACAATTGCAGATGAAAAGATGGTTGGGCTTCATTTAACAGTCATAATGCTCATAATTATTGTAGTTTTGGATATTCCTAAGTGAACTCAAGTCATTGAATTCTTGCTGGTGATCAATATGTTGACTCAAGTCATGTCACGCCTACCGAGCATTTATGGAAATATTTTAAGGCAACACTTGGACTCAGTTATCCTAAACATGTTTTAACTGCTAGACTTAAAGTAGGCTTTAAACTGAGTATCTACTAACATGTTATTCTTTAAGTGTTAAAGCCTAATATAGGGCTTCAGTTTTTATATTGCAACAAATTAAACTTCAAATGCATGATGACAAACAGTCTAATCTAATTAAGCGTATCAGTTGAAAAACTAGCTATCATTAGTTCAGGCAGCTAAAGTGCACATCTGTCAACAATAACAAAATGCTATTTGGATTAGTTGTCAATTAAATAAATACTACGTAGAGTACAAACACAGGCTTTTAGTTTATTTTACATGAAGTTATTCAAATTGTTGTCCTGTTTTTGCAAACCTAAATACCTTCATTTAAATAAACATGAACTGATGCAGACGTTTAGTAAGCAGTAATGTGGCACGTTGAATCACAGGGTAATTGTGGGTCACATAGTATTTACTCACAAGGAATGGATATGAAACTTATATTACTCTGAAGTTCATATCCTTCCAAACCATCTTCTCAACAACCTGAGTTAAAATTCTGACAAAGGGTTAATAAAGTGTTGCAACTCAGACAGGAACCACTTCGATCCACACCAACAGCAAGACGAAACGTAGTAAAGCACAAGATCTGGACTGACATTTGTAACTGCACAATTAAAGTTGTTTGTACATAGCTCCCATTCAGTCGCAATGTAGACATATCGCGTTGTTTTCTTGTAAAAACGCTTTTATCATTGTGATCTTAATAGTAACACGTAATCAAGGGAATTCTTTTTTTTTAACCCAATTTCCACATTGGGGTTTTTAATGATACATGTTGGGAGCACACCTGAAATACGTTTAATACTTCCAAAAGTAAATCGCAGGGGCTAATATGGATTGCAGCTGCTCATAATACTATGAAATGTGCATTATTTTATTTGCACCTTAAGTTCGCAATTAAAGGTAGGGTAGGTAAGTTTGAGAAACCAGCTCGAGATCGCTAGAATTTGAAAATACACAACCGGAGAAAATCTGCCACTTCCTTACAGAGCCCCTCCTCCAACACACATGAACGCGCACATGACCAATGAGCGCACAAGATATGTTTGTGCACAGATGGAAGGCTGACAGGCAGGTAGGCCATCCAGTTATTTTAGCCGGGCCGGCTAAAATGATTGGTCGTACTTTTTACAGTACTACGGCTTCCACAGATTACATTTTTTTATGGATTTGTTGTCAAAGCACTTAATATATTCATTGCTATCGGGGTGTTAAGAGCATTCCATGGAATATAACAAAAAGTGTATCTCGAGCCGGTTTCTCAAACGTACCTACCCTACCTTTAAATGCCCATAAGGTTTTGAGTCCAATACACCCTTTTCTTGTGGAGGGAAAAGGAAGAAATCCTTTTAATTTTTATATAATACTTTATTGAACTTTTAGATGTAATTTCAAAGATGACATGTAGGGGAGCTCTAATCACACAGCTTCCATTGCCTCCTGTTAAAGCATCCCAAAATAAATGAGTTTAAGCCTGGCTACAAACTCTTAGTGGAGAGTCTGGGAGTGTCTACTACCAAGTCTCTGAACACACTAGTCATTTTACCTTAGCTGTGAGTGGTTATAAGCACTGAGAATTGCACTGTTTTTGCAAGGCTCATTTACACAGATGCCAATGTGTGCTAAAGTATGCATGTTAGCTAACTATGAACACATGCATATAGCACCAGAGCAACCCAAAAGCTACTTGTTTGGCTGCGCAGTTTGTTGATGCGATGCAAGCCACGCAATCCTTTCGTGAAATCCCCCCGTCGAAACATTTAAGCTCAAACTCTTTTAGCGATGTGAAATGGGAGGACCATGGCCAAAAATAAAGGCCGAATAATTAAACAGATAAAAGGCTGAAGTGAGTCCAAGTTATCATCACCCAGTCGTGGTTCCTCTTCATGCCGTTGCTGGTTGTTTTTGCACCACTAGCAGTTGAAGTTGAGGTCACTTTTCTTAAGTGACAACCCTCGTTATGTACACACAGATAAAATGTCTCCCTTTTCCACAGACAAGTTCATATATCTTTTATAAAATAAATCTTATATTCCCAAGTATACAATAATAAAATGATGCACTCTGCAGAAAAAAAGGGGAACAGGAAACTCTATATATACATATATGTGACTATTTTGGCAGACAGGACAATTGTAAACAGCTCTTTACTCTCATTCATCACGTTTACGTCCACTTTTTTCCTTTACTTCTTTCGCTCCATTTGTCCTTTTACATTCATATTTCCAAAAAATTGTGCTTTAAGAAATCTCTTATAATAATCCAAGAGCTCTTTTCTTTTTTGTTTCCTCGAGTAACACCCTGGTCCGTTGAGTAGAAGTGGACCGTCTCTGAACAGTAGGTCAAAGTCATGAATGGTCACGTAGCTGGTAGTTCATTCGCCTCCCCAGGAAATGTGATTCCGTGACAGCGAAATGAAGGGAAGGCAACGAACGCATGAATCAGGACTGAAGATGAAGACGTTTGTGAGTTTTATTCTGGGTAGACTTAAGATTTATGTCTGGCACTATGATCATCCTCAGCATTTCTCCAAGTGTCCCTTTCCACATGTTTGCTGGATGTTTTGGTATATATGATTTTGCACTTAATGGCTAGGCAGCATCACGTTTCACACTCTTCCAGCTTTCAGTACAGCTCCCTCACATATTAAGACGTAGAAATAATCACAGTCATTTTTCAAACCTGTCGAAACCTTCCGTGATCGGAACTTGGGAAGGATTTGTGTCCTGGGGTAGTTGTGGCATTTGATTGATGATTACAAGGCTGAGAAGTTACAGCTGTGCTTGTGATACAGGAATGTACACGATGGAATGTGGAAAAAACACTGTTGTGTGTAGAGCGATGACGCTGCAGAATGCTAACGGAGGGAGCAAGAGCTTTGGGTTTTGAGCTCAGGGGGCAGGAACAGGAGAAGTCTGTGAGCCAGGCAGAACAGGATTGTGGGTCTTCAGTTGTCCTCATCGGTGAGCTCCTCCTCCGCAGTGGCCTTCTCGGGAATGGCATCCATGCTGCGTCTGCCTCTGGACTCGGAGCCGGAGGAACCCCCCGCCGGAGCGCCTTTACTCAGGTTACAGGTGAGCGCAGAGTAGTGGATCTGCCGCAGGTTCTCCTGGACTTCACTCTGGGCGTGCTTCAGGAGGTCTGCCTGACCCTGGGGGGGGGGATTACAGATCAAAGAGTTACAGCAGCTTTTAAAATGGTGTCCCTTAAAATGTCAGTAGCTGCCCGTCCTGAGGATAGAAATGTCATAAAAGATTCCATATTAAACGTTCTATTTTAATTTTCATTGTGTTATTTTTAAGACATAATACTCTCTCTTCCAGTATGTACAGTATGTATTAACACCTTATTCTAAATGTTGGCAAAAGTCTGAATTAAATGCCGTCACATTAACGTTCAGGCCATAGCAGAACAAGGTAAATACAGAGAGAGGTAATGCTCATCTTAAGCACTCTAAATCTGTCAATAAACTCCTTTTATGCGAAAATCTGTTATCAATAAACCATAAAACACCATCAGTGAGCCTATTTTCTGAGGAGATTCTTCTCATTTTAGATTAGTCTATAATTGTTTTTCTCAAAAACAATTATAGAACTCTCACAACAATAATGGAATCAGCACTTTGCCTCCATATATTTACTTTTGATTTCTGCATAAATGAAATTCTGAATATCATGCAAAGTACTTAACCTGAAGCATCTAAGCAGATACAAATACAAAAGAGTCCAATAGTCTTATCACCCTATGCTTGTGCTCTGTTATTAGAAAAAAGGCAGGAGATTTTTGATCTGGAATTGATGTAACCTTATTATGGAATTCACAGGCAATTCATTTCTGAGTTTCACACCAGGTGCCAAAGTGTTGTGGATATTCCTGTCACACCTGCATGAAGCCATAATGAGATTGACACAATGGACACCTCGATCTGAGGCCCCGGCCCCACGGGAACGCATACGGCAAAACGCATAGGATTAACGCAAACGCAATCGCCAAAAAGCTTCCGTCCACACGCAATATACACCGGATAGTGTCTTCCCACACGAGACAGCTCCGTTTAGATCCAACCGCTGGAAAAGCTGCAGTACATATGCCGAGCCTGTACGTGGCGCTGTAACTTCCTCCACAAAAGCAGCAACTTCCTCCACAAAAGCAGTGAAGAAGAATGGTTGTCATGGCTGCACTTCTGTTTATTCTCTGCGGTGGGGGCCGAGGGAACCGGGCAGAGTTCCCTCAGAGTTTTTCAAAATTATAAAAGTGCCGGTCAAAGGTCTTCTTTGTTATTTATTGAGCTTTAAAACAAATGAATAACGACTCTATATAATGATATATAATAATAAAATATACGGAACCTCTCTTTTTCCTCCCTCTCTTCTGACAGCGTCAGTGTCTGTCTCATGCAGCAGCTGATCCAGTAATGAGTGACCCGACAGTAACAATAAACATATTTATAACTAGTTTAGGTAGTTTGAGAGGTAATTAAAATAGCTAAGGGTGATGATCTGACTTGAAGTGTGTGTTTTGCTCCCGCTGCATCACAGCGGGAGGAGCTGCGTGTCTCCGTCCTGTCAGATTAGACTTCACTCGCGTTTATGTCCATATCGAGATAAAGCTAAATAATCTGAATTCAGTGTGCAGTGTACTTTTGCGGGGGTGAGCAGCAGAGGTGGGGAGAGGAGGGGAGAGGTGGGGCTATTGCGTCGTCATTATCAGAAAATGATGACCGTATACTATAGAGGCTACCACACGGAGCCGTTGGACCCCCCAGAGCGCTCCGTTCCCAGATCTATCCACCTTTGGACCCGTTGTCGTTTGCAGGGTCTGTTTCTACCGTTCCGTTACGGCGTCGTGTGGCAAAAAGGGCTATACGCAAGAGAAATATGAGGATACAACCCGTTTTCGTTCCCGTGGGGCCGGGGCCTGAATCACAAAAAGCTAGGTGAACCCATCAGTGTAGTGTAGCTCATACATGAAAATGGTCTTTGAAATCTATTTGTATTGAGTTTAAAGCTTTGTTGGATAGCTGCCATTTTATAAGCTTCAAGACCTTCAGTCAATAACCTAATGTACTTTTAGTGTTCATGAAAAATCTCAAGTCTTTAAGTAGTACGCCTGCCAACAATAAGATCCATATAAGCAAAGCACCAGATTAAACATTGACAGAAAATGCAGCATCCACAAAGAATAACACGTACTTGCCTGACTCAACTCAATTGCCCGGGGACAAAGTATAAATTATAGCTGAGTTACTCGTGTGGTAATCTTAATTAACACGTGCAAATGCCATATATAAATATGCAGGAGGTCATTCATCAATAATTACCCCTTGTGTTGGCTGTGGAGGTTGAAACAATAGGTGTGGTGTTTCAGAGCGGCTTAGACTAGGGACTCACCAAACACCGGTCCAAAAAGAGTGGCATAATATTGCCTCCGGATATAAATAATTACATTATTCGTGAATTTGGTAATTTATCAGTAGGTTTTTTGTATTGCACTAATGTTTTGTTAAAAAATATTCATGGGTGCATGTGCGGAAGGAAAGCTTATATAAGTGATAATAAAAGCAACTTGCCTTATAAGTATACTTTAGACATTCATATTACACACTTGTGTTTACATTTAAAACCAACTTTTTGACGAAATGCCACATGTAGATAGATATATTGGGATTCAAAGAGAATGGCAGCTACTGTAGTAGCAGTACACAGGCTACACAAGGTTGGTGTCACCAGTGTTCATAATCTCACCTTCAGCACGGTGATGTTCCAGGTGAAGCTCTCCACCGCCTTGTGCAGCTTCCTGCCCTTCAGCCCCTCCTTCACAGCCAAGTCATGGAGGTTCTCGTGGAACTCCATCGCTGCGAGAAAAAGACAGATGAGAACGAGTCAGACTTTTTGTGGCGGTTTGTGAAACAGAAGAGCAGCTGCGAGGTGACTGAAGTCTGGGAGCTCTGACTGGGTGCTAGGCCTGTTGTCACTGTGAGGAAACACATTAGAGCTAAAGTCAGTGGCATTGCTGTCAATATTTCACAGTGTGCTGCTGCAGCAGAAGGGAAGAGTATGTGGAAGTACAGAATAGAGACCCTCTGGCTGTGGAGGAGGACTCCTCTCATTACTGTACGTCTGCAGGGTGATAAAGGATCGCAGGAGCTGCTGTGTGCATCTTAAATCTGACTGAAGTGCACATTTCTGAACAATTAAAGGAGGAAAGCTGAGGGTTGGATGCAAGATATGAAGGAATAAAACTGTGCAAGCACCTGCCATCGAAATGTTAATATCTTGTTAAGCAGCCCTTAGAAAAAGGCGGAGGAAGTGTGAAGTGACAGTTATTTGATAGCTAACTTGATAGTGCCTTACATCCTGTTTCTCTCGAGACTCCTATTTGCAACAGTGTTGCATTCATTTTCATGGCAGTGTTACTATTAACCAGGAACAGTTTGGTGAGCATGTGTGACCTCTGTCAGCAACACCTTGCTTCAACATCATAACTCTATATCCCAGGGTGAAATGTTATTGGATGGTAGGCAGAGTAGAACATCCCAGCGAGGTGTTGATGGGATTTTAAGGGACAGGAGTGAATTGGTAAAAAAAAAAAGAAGAAGAAAGAAAGCAAAAAGGCAAGATAAATCAAAGGCAGAGCACAAAAAGCCCAGTTGAAGGAAGCAGGGAGGCAGGATGAGAGGGAAGAGAAAGCCCCGGAAACGCAGAGAAAGGCAGAGGAGCGGTGCAGCGTAGGCAGACAGACATGACGTTCTTTCACTGTGGATTAGCATCAAGGCATCGAACAGAGGACGGATTTGTCTCCTGAGGAGCTTTCCCACCTCCTCTCTTCCCCTCTGCATGACTGAGTCTGAGTAAGGACATCTTTAATGTGGATATGGCCTTTGCAGTGCAGTGCTGACACTGCAGCAACAGGCAAACACAGCCTGTGAGGTAAATAAGCCAGAGAGATGGAGTTCCTGCTAGACACAGCAGCCCATCACTTTATAACGCTGGAAATTCCAAGCAAGAATGCCTACATTACCGCCCGAAGCGCTTATATCAGCTGGAGTGGGCCCTGGCCCCTGTTGGTGCTGTTACCATGGAAACGTGGCGTGCACACGACCCCCCCTCATGTGGAGTCGCCATTATAGGCGTGGGGTTGGGCTGCCTCGGAGCCTCTCAGCTGCGTGAATACAACCTCACACACCTGATACAAATCTACTGACACATCCATTATCTCCTGACATCACACGTGCTCTGTCCATTTCCTGTGTTCCTAACATGTCATTTCTGTCTTCATCTCAGGCTGCCATTCTGTAACTAAAGAGCTGCTGCTGCTGTGCACATGGACCATGACTGTGCTGAAGAAGGTGCACATCTTCCTCTATCACACACACACACACACACACACACACACACACACACACACACACACACACACACACACACACACACACACACACACACACACACACACACACACACACACACACACACACACACACACACACACACACACACACACACACACACACACACACACACACACACACACACACACACACACACACACACACACACACACACACACACACACGTTGCCTAGCAACATTTGATGGAGTCTGGCAGGCAAGAAAGAAAGAAATGGGGAAGCTCATTCTCAGCAAGCATTTCAGACGCTGATCTCTGAAGTAATGCTGCAAGATGACAACTGTACATAAAGGCAGCGCTCCCAGCATGAAACAACTACAGTATAAAGAAGAGGGTCAGAGGAGGGGGACCTGAGTTACCAGATATAGAATACTGAGGAGAAAGCCTACAATTGATCATTAAAAAATAACACCTATGGCTTTGTCCTAATGATTTTAATGATTAACTAATATGCTGGTTCTTTTTTCAATTAACCAATCATTTAGTCTATGAAATGTTTTTTCTTAATAGTGCTAAACCCAAAGACATTCAATTACAATGATAACAACGAATGGACTAAAGTAACACAATCGATCATGATGTGAAATAAATGATGCTCTGTTATTGACCATACAGTCTTTGTTATTGACATGGTCATTGAACATTTTCAAATCAACCATGTACACTGACCTGTATTTAATGATACAAAAATATCTAAATGCCACTTCTTATACATTTATGTGGTCTTCTAACATGAACCCGTTATATTTTTGAAAAGAGTGTTAACTGTTTCTTGTATTGACATTTTTATGATCACCTCTGTTTACTTTTAACACCCTATGGGTTTTGGATTTGCTACTTGTTAACCAGTTTATATTTGTCATGCTTACCATTTATATTTCTGTCCTTGTGTACATTTGGTTATCAAACATTATAATAGATATTTTATTGTTTGTATTTTGCTTTTAGCTGCGCTTTTTCTTCGTTATACTGCCACCACTGCACAATAATTTCCCTCGGTATAAATAAAGTTCTAAGTCCTTGGTCTCTCTTATCTTGTATCACTATCATACCGTATGTCACAGAAAGACAGGAAACCCTTACATTGAGAAGTGGAAACCAGCTAACCAACTAAAACAATAGATTATTAATCAAATTAGTTGTAAAATAGTCTCAGTTCTAATATTAACTATAATTTTAAGCACCATCCAGGAGGCGATGTGGCACAAAGCATTTCACCAATAAGAATGAAACAAAAAAGTTCAATCCACTTTGAAGGGGACTTTAACATATCTAACACAGTATTGGCCCTTTGCTTTGTTCTCTGCAGAATGTCACTGAAAAGCCACACCATTATCTTGCAGTTGGCATTTAAGAACATCTTCTGTACTGATCTTGTTAGTCTGCAGCAGGTGCAGCCCTCCATCTGCCTTGAATGCTAATTGGGACATAAAGTGAAAGTCAGGGGTGGGAAGTGACATCCATCTTTAAGCAGCGAACACCTGACTGTGATCCCTGACTCTGCCTTCATGTCGGTCAATTTTCTGAGGGGAACACACGACCCATCTGAGCTCAAGTGATGGGTTATTCACAACTTTAAAAAGCTGCTTCTGCTGAATGTTCCACTTGCTGTAGAGAGGGAATTGGATTTGCACTGACCCAGTTCGACACAACAGACAAACAGGAAACCATGATTGCACTGAAATACCAACAAACAAGAGCGCACACACACAAACACATACAAATGGTGTCTGTTGGGTTGGAAAATATATCAATGAACAAGTTCATCAGTTGTGTCCCAGTTTGCAATTGTTGTTGACGGTTCTGCTCCTGATATTATATAATTGTATATAAATGGTGCTTTGAGACCAAAACCCCACAATGCTTCCGTGGACTATTTTTTTTACAAAAAGGAATAATTCCCTTTGACAAGATGTTTATCAATCGGGGCTAGGACTCATTGTGTAGAACTACTCTTACATAAAATCCTGTTGTCATCAACTCATTAAACGACTGTCATCTGACCTCAAACAGGACTTTACTGACAATGAAATGCCATTTTGTGGAGATAAGGAGGAAGGATGTAGAAAAATACGACAATGTCTGGCAGACCTTTCCTTAAGGCTTGAATACTATTTTAAGAGTGACTCATATTAACAGGCAGCACAACAGGTGACAATAACTACATGCGCATGTGCTCTATAAATCAAACAATGTGTAATATTTACATGTTGTGCCAACACAGCAGGTTGTCGTTAAAATAGAATGTGAATAATGCTGACAAAGGCTGTTAAGATGAACATGGGGAGTATTGTAGGACTAAAGTACAAGGCACTTATTTCATACATAAGCCATTTTAAACCCATGCTAAAACCAAATCTAAACCAAAAAGAATATGGTTGAAATATGAGTCCCAGTGACACAGATGTGAGCAGAGATTTTAGGGATCTTTCCGATGCCAGTAAGCCCAACATCACAGAATCTTTTCCCCAAACCACTGGCTGGTAATTGTTACGGGCTGGGAGGTGGTCGAAATGAAAACACCAAGGAAAAAACAGCACAAAGCCTTTGATCATTGCATTGGTTAAAAGACACAGTCCTCCTCTCTGATGTGCCAGGACAATAGAATTTGAATATTTTAGAAATCCATCCGGCTGGAAACCAATAAAGCAGAGCCGCGGTAATGATGGTCCGTCTCTCCCCCGCTCCACCCTCACTTAGCTTTTCTAGCCGGCTCACTCAGGGATAAATTAGATTTCAAAACTACTAAGATGGAATTCAAGGCCAGACAGTGCTGCATTAAAAATTCAATTAATGTCAAAAAAGAAATTCTTCTCATTAACAGGTTCAGACAGCAAAGCCTGTTACATAGTAAACATTTTGCAAAATAAAGACTGCCCTCCAGAAGTATCCGTAATTTGACAGCATCATATGCTAATGTTTCTTAAGACTGTGTGCATCTTTTTTTTTAATCCAGCAGTGCCTCCACTGATGAGCTGCCAATCTTACTCCGGATGCATGGAGTACATTTGGTTACAATCGGCTAGAATGCTAGGTCTGCATGAACACATACACTTTGGGCCTCACTATAACTGAGAAGAGTAGATGTACTGCCATCTGCTCGCCTCACACACATCTCTGAACCTTAAACCAACCCTGTAATTAGAATACAGCACAGACGCTGGTATTGGTGTGAATTAAACACCTCTGTCCAAACCGCAGCTTTTCAAAGGGAAGCAGTGACAGGATCAGGTTCTTGAACCTGATTCAAATGGTAATTCCACACTTATGCAAATAAGCAAAATCAGTTCTGTCGGATACCATTGAGTGATCTGTGTGGTGTGGCTTCAGAGAGATGGTGGGGCCAGTGGGCAATATTCAGGAGTGGTCTAATGTCAAAGGAGAACAACATCTAAAGACGTTTCTTACCTGCTTTTTGGGTTTGTAGAATTCTCTCATACAACCCTTCAAAACTCTCCAGCAGAGTCTTGCTGGTCTGGATCACCTGAAAGGAGACAAGATATATTGTTTTGATTTGCCATTTATTTCAACATCAGAAAAAACTGGCATCCCACAAGACAGCAGGGAGCAGTCTCCGTCTGGTGGCCGGGTGTTCCTCTCCAGGGAGGGCTCAGGGAAACAAGCTGTTATTACGGGCACGTCAGTGGGCGGGGTCGCTGAATTGCATTTTTTAAAACCAAAATTAGAGGGATGGAGACACAAGCGATTAGGGTGTTTTTCAAAAGTCACTTCTTTTTTCAACTCTTGTCTGGTTTTCCGGAGATATGAACTTCATTTACAGGGACACTTAAAAATTAACCCTTTAATAGAAAAGGCAGATAATCAAGGTCATATGAAGAGAAGATGTAAACGTAACCTTGAGTCATTTTGAAGCAGGACTCCGCCGTGTTATTTGTGAAATTGCAGCTTTGAAAGATGCAAAGCTTAGCTCCTGTGGCGTTATGCCCAGCTTTAATTGAGTACACAAACTCTGCTGACCTGCAGCCTGTTAAAAAGACTCGAAGACTTTGGGAATTCATTTCCATATTAAATGCCAATAATGCACCTGCCCCGCACAACAGCACAGCAGTGTTTCACCAGGTCAATGAGGCATATGTAGCGTGTCACAGTCAGAGGTAAATAATTGTAAGGTATATAGGGAGTCTGACGGATCTTTCTATCTTAAAAAATTAATGTTTTCATCCAACAGACATGATTTATGTACCCCAATGTTGCTTTGCTTTTTATGTTATGTTGTGCATGTTGGGCACTGGGGTCTCTGTGTATGCAGGACTGCTGTAATTTACCTGTACTTGTACACTTCCTAAGTGACTTAAGTGCACATTGTGGTCATGTCACAAAGCCAGGCAGCCCTGCTCTGCTGCCAAGACAGAAAGCAAGAAGGGATAGAAAACAATGTTTTTATTAGAGCTGAGTATAACAGAGTCTCTCGGGGAAAAAAGAGCAGTGACCAACATCATGCCCCTGAGATCCATCTCTGGAGCAAGGAAATAAAGAAAGTGGAGTGATAGAGGGGGGTGTCAGGAACAGAAGAAAGGTGGAATATTATTTTAGAAACAAAAATGAACATGTTTTATTTAGAAACCCCCTCATTTTAATCCTTTAGACAATTTAGTTTAGATAACCACCTGGTGATACATCAGTTTTGTTATTATTTTAGAAATCCAATAAAAAGACTGATACAACAATTCATTGAGCATACCCTAATATAGCTCAGTTCTCATTGCCAAAGAGCTCCATTGGGATCAAAAAACTATTAAAAACTCATACATGAGCCACAGTGTTGCACTGGTTTACATGTTCCTTCATTACTGTCAATGTTGGCACTGTGGTTTATTTTGAGTCAATCCCACACATTCTATCCTGCTGCTGGAGATAATAAGCACCAAACACACGCACTAGCTATTCCTATTAGAAAAGTACAAAGCACGGCTGTTTAAATGAATTACTGAGCCTTTTAAAAAAAGTGTCCAAAGCCTGGATAAGGAAATCAAAAAGTACCACACTGTGGTTTGAGTTGTTTTAATAGATTTGTTGAAAACTAGAATCATGCTAGACTCTCAACATTTAATAGCACATTGGAAGGGAAACAGTTAATCTGCCACTGAGGCTTTTAATACTGATCTGATACAATTCAATTTTTGTGCTTTCAAATGTTTCTGTAGTTAGTTCATATGATAACCTCTACCTTTATATTAATATGACCAAAATAAACAAGCAGCTTTCTTTTGGCATTATCACATGTATTCCATCCCATTATCATGTTCTGTAGGGAGAACAGAGTTTCTAAAACCCATGTAGTAAATCACCATGTTCTGCTGAAAGCAGTACTGACTTCATTATTCTGGCAGTTTTGTGTCACTCCGCAGCTGCAGTTGCGGCACTTAGAGCTGTCGCACATGCTGTGATTACTTCCCCCATCGGAGAAGAAATTACCATCTTGGTGTCAGAGACAGAATCACAGAAGTATTTAAAGACCCGGTCTAAAGGTAGGCGGGTGGACTGTGCCCCATCTGCACACTAAAGACCATCTTCTGTAAGTGCTACAGTATGTTTACTTCTATTATTATTTGTATGTCTTCCCACATTTTGCATATGCAAATGGTCATTTGATATAAAAGGTGATGTAAGCTTAACAGTCGCATTATGCAAATGATGATAACGTTTTAAAGTTTTAATATATCCAAGCTTCATAGAAATTATTATATCTGCTTCCTTTCAGACAAAACAAAGACTAACATACGGGCTTCGTATTCCCTCGGTTCAGTTTTTCAGAGACAGTGCATGCGCAACTCATCTCTATTTACAGGCTGTGCCCTCAGTTCATCTGCTGCGAACAAAAACAGAAATCAGAGCATATTATCTAAGACCACAAGCTGGCATCATGCCGATATCTCTCACTTTTTTTCCTCAGCACACAAATGAGCAGGGATTGAGACCTAGATTCTATTTTTGCCAACTAGGAAGTGAAAGCCTGGGTACTCCCAGTGGTGGGTTTTGACACAGAGCCTGGATTTCTAATTGCACTGTTCCATACATTATTTGCAACTCTTTGGCTCTGTTCCTTGGATCATGCCTCTGTATTCTCACCCCCCCTGCAGATGTGCACCTTTCTGCTCCGTCTCCTCAGGCACTCTGCTTACGGTCAAGGCGTGCAGTTTCACATCAATTAAGCGCTTGTTTTAATTTATTTGACTTTGTTCCCCAAACACTCGTCATTTTCTCCTTTCTTCCCTCTAACTTAATTTTCCTGGCACTCTTTCCATCAGCCCCAATTAACTAGCCCTCTACTCTCAAGTCTGAGTCCAGCAGAGGGGTTACTTTAATATGTCCGCGTCAGCATCATGCACATTATCAGATATTTATCTCTGAGTCCAACGGGGTGTGCCATAAGAAATAACACAGTTGGGGGCAGATAGCACTTTATCCATGCATTACAATGTAACATATATGGGACATTTCTATCAACTCTTTTCACTTTTGTTACACAGATGTGCACATGTTGTAATTAGTAAGGGAGAATTTGTCCCACTGGCAACTTAAGTTTATTATTTATACTATAAAAACAGGAATACAAAAAAGTAAATGTGTGAGATTGTAAAATACACTGAACACACATGGCAACACGTCACAATAGGCTATAAAACTAAATAGCATCTCTTAGGGTTTACAATTACAGAACTATATACACTTTTTTCAATGAGAGGAGTTTTTCAATTAGTTCCACCTTCATTGAATTTAAACATTTGAAGCCCCACTCTGAACTCACACTTGGAGCTTAGGTTCCACATTATGTGCATCAATCTGCAATCTACATCAATGTACTTGTGTTGCCGAGGGAACTGCACACTGGCCCTGGTATATTGACGGTTCAGTACCAATAAACACTAAACCAGGGTTTAATAAATATTCTCAGGGCATAATGTTACAGCCAAAAAGATGGAGATACATCTCATTAAATATTGTTTTGTTACTGAATGCAAAATTAATCCAAGGAGTTCACTTGTTGCTCTACTTATGCCACTGCGTTTTTCCAGGGCATATAAGCCTTGTGCTTGAAATAATGATGTGAAGTCTCTAATAATGTGCTGAAAATCAATGTTAAAGAACAGGATGTGTTCAGGGAAATGGTGCTGTCTTGGCATAGCCTCAATTGCAGGTTGCATAACTTGTGAACATTGATTGTATGACTTAACAGAGCACCAACCACGTTACCTAACCATCTCTGTATGCCCCGCCATTAGGGCCAGGAAAGACAAGGCATTGATCTAATTGAAGATGAAACTTTGGTTAAGTTTTTCTTTTCTTTAAATATCAACCACAAAAGCTTATTTTTGGGAATAAATCCATTAACAAAACTTCCGCATACTTCTTCCCCCTTATACACTTTAAGAACAATTTTGCCAGACAACTACTCACCATATCATAGGTAGTGACAACTTTTTTGAGAACCTCAGGTAGCAGACCTTGGGGCTCCAAGTTGGGGTACTGTTCAGCGAGGTTGAACAACAGAAGGGGGCTGTTGTCAGTTCCAGTGAGTCGAGGGGAAAGGGCCAAGATGCACTGCTTCAGGTTAGCCACCGCTGAAAGGCCGCACAGCTCTTTAAAGGACACTATGGCATTCTGCACAAAGAAGAGAACAATGACTGGCTTGTATGCCTTTATAGTGATTAATACTGGCATGCCAAGCAACACATATTTCTTATGACATAACTTTAAGTTAAGGTAAGGAATTCATATTCTGCATTGTTCAAATCTGGTATTGATCTGTGTTAAATGTGTAACCCAAGAGTAGTCAGAGGTAGTGGCTGCAAGCTCACTCATTACCTGTGAGAACTTTTATTTTGGCACTTAAGTAAGTTACTCATAAACACTCAATCCTTTTGGACTGACACCAGTATCACACGGAAGTCCCAACCTTCCTGTGAAAGCACACATTTAAATCCTACATAAACAACCGGAGGGACCAACTGGGACAGTAATGTGTTATAGCCTCAAGGCCAGTGGCTTGTTATGACACAATGACTGCAATATAAACAGGGCTACTAAAAATAAATACTAATACAATGCCTGAAGAAACACAACATGGGACCAACCACAGAGTGTTGTGATACTCCAGTAGTGCATTTTCAGTACAGGTTATTTCAAACAGACTTCAAATGCTAATTCAAGACAACAAATATGACATACATGTGACCATGAAAAAGAGAAAATTACACTGTTTTCAGGATCCCTGTGTTGGCAAAGAAAGACAAGAAAAAAATGATTGGGATGATATTAGTTAAGATCGGGAGCTATTCAAAAAACAGAAGGCGCTTTATTAAAAACATATCACCAGCTTGCTGAAGGCCATGATCAGCAGTTGTTGTATTAAAAGAGATTTTAACGTCATAAAAGAATCTACAATTCAAAAAGGAAAATCATCAAGGTCCCTCAACTTTCTTCCCACATTTGTTTTTACTATTGGCTAAGACATAAGGAATATATTACATCTGAGTTAGTCAAGCTTGGTGTTTTTTTGTTTTTCTTTCCATGGTGGGTTCCTTTTTTAGATGCTCAAGACTTTTTGTCGTAGATCTGGTTATAATCTATTCTTGGGTTGGGGTTACATTTTCTTCAGCCTACAAGTCTACCCTTCACTATAAGAAACAATCCCATGCTGGAAGATGGACGAAGAATTCACAATGATACTGTTAAATCACTGGTGCCACATCAAAGGAGACTATTGCATATAATAAGCATTCAATGGAGTTTCCTTTAATTTCTTACCTGCATGTTTTCTCTGAGATCTGTTGCCTCCCTCAGAGGCAGCAGGACTGTTTTGAAGACATCATCCAGAGCCTTGATCAACAGCACTCTCATGTTAGCATACTCTCTACTCTTCTTGCCTTTTCGTACAGACAGTCCCCTTTTGTGTGGTTTGCCGCCTCCTCTTCGATTGGTTATGGCCACATGAACAAACAACAAGGTATGTTGCAAAACCTCCCCTGTCAGAGATTGCAGCGGGACATGGCGAAAACCTGGCTGGAGACACTCAAAGGGGATGGTGTATTGGCCGATGAATTCATCACCAATATAGTCGTCATCTAGCACCACAAAGCGCACCATTGCAAGCTCAGGGAGATTTATCTGAAACTCAAAGCTTTCATCAAACAGAGGGTTGTCCCCATTCTGATTGACCGTTTTAGTCCTTTGTTCGGCACAATCAGCAGGAATGCCGTGTATTTCCACATACACATAGGGGTCTACTACATCTCCTTTGGCACCTGAGCCTTTGGGTTTGGGGAAGTTTTGTCCACTGATGATCTTGATGTGTAAGAGCTGTGGAGAAACACCAGGCACTGAATCTTTAGTGTTGGCACTAAAATATGAAACATGCTCCCTCATGATGGCGGGACGCAGCACATAGCCACAGTTCCCATTCTGACGGAACCAGCCGATGTTTAAATCCATCATCAGGCCAGGAGTCTGGTAGTTCATTGCCACAATCTGGCAACCACACTTCCAGAAATCCTGTGGATTCATGTTGCTGGAGTCAATCCGCATTGGGCTAGGGTAAACTCGTGCAAGATACTTCTTGTTGTAGTTTACAAAGTCGCCAGGGAGGTCACTGGCGCAGCGACTGGCAAAAACTTCATTGAAAGAGCAAAGCTCCCATTGCTTCTGGTTCTGGAAAGATGTTGGGAAGTCCTTGAACTCCACAGACTTACACAAGGTCACCAGATCAGAGAGGTCTTTTGACAGCTGGAAGTTTTTGGGTGCAATAGTCTGTTGTTCTGCAGACTCGATGCTTATTCTTTGAGACATCTCTGCCCCCTCGTCCTCGTCTGTGACCTCACCTTCTGAAGCAGTGCAGTTTGTGCTCAGTTTTTTACCCTTCAGCAGGATCTTTCCCTTCAGTTCCGATGGAGAGGGAAGGTAACAGTCCTCAGGTTTTGGAGGGTCTATGTGGATCTTGTCACCAAGAATCTTCTTTAGGTGCTGAAACATGACTCTCTGCTGCTTTAAGGAGCAATGGTTTTCTAAACACAGTAGCAGTGGAAACTCAGACGCAACAAAGGCATACTTGTTGATGACGTCAACGACACTGCGAAAAACTATCTGTGACGTCATTGTGTGACCAGTGTAAATAACAGGTTCATTATCAGGCCCATCCCACACATCCAGCTCTACACTGCGGCAGCCCATCTTGAGGGCACGGATATACCCTGTCACATCAGAAGGACCTCTGAACTGGTCTTCTATCAGATATGTGTTGTGGGATGCATTAATGTAATAGTGGGACAAAGGCTGTTTCATGTCTTGGCACACTGTTTTTTGTTCAGGGTCAAATATATGGCACTCTGGAGACATAAGATAGTTGGTGAACCCATCAAGAGAAAGCCAACCCTTGAGCTGGCCCTCTTTGGACGGTTCATATTTCTGAATGACCTCTAAGCTTGTGTCTTCACTGACTTGTGCCATACCCTGCTCAGCCTCCAGAAATATCATTAGGTCCTTGGTATCCAGAAATTCTTTGTTACTAGAGAACTGAACAAAGAGAAAATAAATGTCTGGTCTGGTGCAAAGATCATGAAAGACCTCAATGAACTCGTCTTTTGTCACATCAGAACCTGCTTTGTCCTTAGCTTTCTGAAGCTCCTTGAACTTCAGTTCTATTTTCAAATTTTTAAGGCCCGGGTTTAAGTTTTTGACTAACTGCACAGCAGCACATATATTTATGTGTTTGCTGTTGTTACTGCCTGCCTCATCAAAAAGTTCACCTAGCCAAGATGAGCGCATGTTGTTCTGAACGCTCTCTATCATATTTAAGGTGTGTTTCCCATAGGAGATCAGGTACCTTAGCCCTGTAACCCAAATGTTGGCTACATCTGCAGTGTTTGCCACCAAGTCCAGTGACTCATAGTTCTCCCCAAAAATAATTGAGAAGGCACAGTCCTCTGAAATCTGATCATAGGTTCCATTAGTTCTAAAAGTGTCAGTATTTTTTCCTGTTCGCACTTCCTTGATGGATTTTACATCAATTTTGGCCTTTTCTGATTCTTTCTTCGAGGGCTCCCATCTCAAAGACTGCATGTCGGCATCAAGGAGAAAGTAGCGGTGGTAGATGCGGGAATTGGATCGCACTTTCTTTAGCTCAGAGCCATCCACCATTGCATTGATGCAGTCGCTAGCACTGCTAATTTTCTTCTCTGTGGGCATGCTGCTGAACGATACAGTCTTCTTTCTTTCTTTACGCTGTCTTGAGCCATCCTGCAGAGAAACAGAACAAAGTGCATAAATAAAAAGCCATCTGTAGATACTGAATGATAAAACAGAATATCAATTTAAAAGACAAGCACTACTAACAAGAAAAACATTGAGTAAAAACCTAGAAACCTAGTATTTTATATTCCAAAGTAAAGAAATATAATGCATATCTGTTCAACTGTATGGAGGCTTATACATTTTGCTTGCTTAAAACTTAAAGGGGACCTATCATGCAAAATGCACTTTTGTACGTCTTTTATACATGAATATGTGTCCCCGGTGTTCCAGGGAACTCACCAAGTGTCAGAAAACACAACCCTCTCTATTTTCCTCCATACCCAAATTTCTAAAAAAGGGGCTGCAACGGATCTGATAAAAACTGATCCAGATTTGAACACTGTCCTGATGTCAGGACGGTGGCGCTACGGCTATTGGGCCAACTCCACCAATCAGGAGGAGACAGCCACGGCTATTGCCGTTCGAAAGCGCTGGAGACGCTGTAGTACATATGCCAGGCCTCTAGATGGTGCTGTTCTCACTGAATCTGCCCTTGCAAAAACAGAGCAACATTTTTTCAAATTGAGCAAAATGAGGCATGGCTAAAATGCATGATCTGTTTGGTATTTTGAAAAAAAAAAAGTATAAATATGCCTTACATAGGTATGGTCCTACACTATATTATTCAAATATAGCATGATAGGTCCACTTTAACAGAATGAAGAAGACTTTTTTCCCAAAAGTGCTTTGTTTCTTAAAAATCAATCAAGTCTATAAAGAGTAAAAATGTGATGAACATTTACAATTAACATGAATGTTTTTTGTTATGGTCAAACGCATACCAAAGGTGGAATGTGCTTTATAACTAGTATGTACATTTACTCATCTACTGAACTACTGTACATTACAATGCTGCTTATTTTATTAGCCAGAAACAGTATTCCTCCTTCCAGGTCCCTCTTTGTTTCCTCTAAACAGTTCCTGAGCAGACTCACAGCAACAAATCTGTAAGGGGACTTAGGCCCCGTCCACACGGACACGAAACGGGTTGTATCTGTTACAGTTCTCTATCGTATCGTCCACACGAGGCCGTAACGGAACCGGGGAAACGGAGCCCTCAAACGATAACGGGTCCCAAGGTGGGTAGGTCTGCGGACGTAACGCTCTGGGGGGCCAAACGGCTCCGTGAGTACGCCCTATATGCCATAACCCCTGCTTTTGGAGTATTTTGTGGCGGAAGTACAGCGCCACTTACAGGCCCGGCATATGTACTACAGCGTCTCCAGCGGGTCGAGCAGTCTCGTGTGGACGGACACGTTTATTGAGCCGATACCGTGTGGACTGAAGACTTTTTTTATATTGAATTCGGTTCGTTCTCCGTTTCGTCTCCGTGTAGATGCAGCCTTAAGGTACCTATCAAAGTACATTATGGAGATACAACAGAAAATCTCCCTCAGGGGAGTTTTGCCCTCACAAATCCAGTCATCTTTTCTACAGCATCCACATTTCAGATTTGTTTTCATGAACCCAGCTATTTGGCTGCAACCTGTTCCGAACATCATTTAATATTTTGATAATTCCAGTTCACAAATGAATATTAGCACGAGTGAAACTCAAACCCCTACTACTCATCATGTTTGAGTTTTATGGTACTACTTACAAAGCAGTGCATCAGTTTGTCAAATATATAAGGTTGTCAAGTGAAGGATTCCTTGTTCTACACTCAAGTATAAACCCCTTGATCTTACATTTTACTGTAATATTTTATTACAGTGTCCTTAAAGATTTTTTGTTTTATATTAGATTTCTTGTTTTATATGGAGATTCTTTGTTTTATATTTTATGTACTGTATGCACCATGACATCAAGTCAAATTCCTCGTGTGTGAGAACCTACCTGGCAATAAACCCGTTTCTGATTCTGATTTCCTGTGCGTTTTGATGAAACCACAAAACCATGCCAACCTCTTATGTAGTCAAAGTGAGATGTGCATACCTCACATACTGAAAGAACCAGTACTCTGAGATTGATGTATCTTTATCTTCATGCCTATAAATGCACATTGAAGCTATCACACATCCATCTAACATTTCACCATCTTCCTCCATGTTCTTTCCCCATTTAGCTAAAAATGTTAATAAGAAATGTGACAACTCCTACTGATGTGACAGTGCAGCTGTCATTTTTCACAGGACCAGCGTTTTTTAACCTTTTAAAGCAGTTTCATCACAATAGTACCCAGCAACCTGTTTTTTCAACTTGTGTATCTGTGTGATTATTATTATTTTTGTTGTTTTGTTATTTTATCTCCCTTGTAAAGCGTCCTTGGGTTTCTTGAAAGGCGCTATAAAAATTGAAATTGTTATTATTATGATTAGATCGTTTTTGTCTCTTGCGTGTCTGCTTACTGTTTACCCTATTGTCCCAAACTACCATGGCTCAGCAGTTGCTGTTAGACACACACACGCACACACAGTGATTAGCTGAGCTACATCATGTATAACGTGTTTGCAATTGGACAAGATGTAGAAAAATATAATTTGTACAGACCCAAAGTGCATTCTGCTGCTGACTTTGCAGACCAACCTCAGATGGTTTATTTGTTTACACAATAAGACATAATAGTAGGTGGCATAAAATAATACAAAGCCCTCCCCAACATAAATAATATTTCAAATAGAATAAAGTAAAATAATACACACATCTTCAATGGGCAACACTTATATTACAGAACACCAAACAATATTATGTAATGACTTTTCTAAAATAATTAATCATAATAAATCCCATCTGTGTGTTGGAGAATTGCAAAACACACAGACCGGCACATTTACTCTGATTGGTAGAATCTTCAGTCAGATGTAAACATATTCATCCCATTCTTTGACACAGTCTGCTGCTTTAAGAGAGTTCATTATAAAAAAGGGAAGCTTAATACGTTAATGCGTGACTGCAGACAATCCTTATGATCTGTGGAAGAATGTGAACATATGTTAGCTCACTGATAGTCTCTTTCCTGCTGTATTTATTACAAGGGCCGCCATGCCAGGCATTTGCCTCAGGATTTCCCTTTGCTTCCTTAACCCAAACTAGAAAACAATGCTGTCCACACCCATCGCTGTGTTAGCATTTGTTATTATTTCCTTAGGACATGTTTCTTATGCAATAGTTCCTTTCTGTCTCTGGAGGAAGCCAGACAGTCCAGGGTGTTCTTCTTTTGTTGTGTGTTTTATTATTCCTTAAATGGTTCTTTAAAAGATGCGATCCCAATCATAAGTTTGTCTATTTTTAGTTTGATCAGATATTTGCTTTAAAGGTTAGGCCTACATATTCTTCCCGACATAAATATCACAAATCTCTGTTCATCTCTGTTTCTTGATATCCAACAATAAACTACATCATTAAAGCGAAACATGATCAAGATGCTTTGTATTAGTAAGTCCATAGCACAGGATCATAAAAGAAATACCAAGTAATGTCAGCAGCACAGCCTCAATAGAGATTCTAGCAATATTAGGACTGATTGTTTTCAATGATTTATGGAACTTCCTGGCAAAGGGTCAGGAACTTTGCAAGGGAAGATAAGCTCTGATCTCAATGTAAATATAAAAGTGGACCTTTATGTAGTGAACTTCCTAGGCGGAAATAAAACGCAATACTTGTTCATTAGCCTATTTAAATGAATTGTAACCATGCTTTATTTCTCTTTTATTCCAATTATTTTTCACTTAAGTTCCATACTTTTTATTTAATTCTCCTGCAAAGTTTCCACCTTGAATATTCCAGAAAAAAAGTGAGAGCTGAAAGGTTAATTTCTTAAACCAGAAATTACAGCACCGGTAAGTAGAGACAAAATCACTGATATTCCTAAATGATTTTATCCAATTCCCACTTGATGTGTGACCACCATTTTGTGTTAACAATTACTTTAAAACACACTGAAGCAGTGTTGTTACTCATCACTTCTTTGAAACCTGTGAAACTGTATTTTGTTTTATACAATGTTTAGGGAAACATTTCTAACGTCTTTCTTAAGGTTGTTGACTGTGGCTTTTTCATTCCCTAGTTTCTTTTTCTTTTTAGTTACATTCAGAAAAGAAAACCCAGAATATTGTGTAAGCAAGTCAGAAGAACTTAAAAAATATAGGACGTTTTTTTAGCTATTTCTTAGTAAAGAGATAATAACAATGCTTTTCACATTAGGTTAACCCTTACAAGGGATATGACATGTATGCCCACATACCATTTCTAAATATGCTTGGTTTTGGGTTGATAGAATGAGTAAATGAGACAGAAGGTGAGTCAGAGAGAGGAAAACAAAAGAAGAGACAATGCAACAGCAAGAGAGTTAGTATGACAAAGTGTGTCCAACTGCTCACAGATCCCATAGGACTCTGAATCCCCTAATGGCCTGAATCCCATATTCTTTCTGGCTCAGTGAGCAGTTATGGATTGCCTGTACAACTGAGAACATGACAAAGGGACCCATTACTCTCTGCTCCACTGTTCTACATCCCCAACATAAAGAAACGTTCACCTACAGATCAGCATTGGCTTCAGTTCACCATAACCTGAATCTATTCAATGAGAATAATTTAATTAGAATGCAGATTTAGTAAGGCAATCTTGCTGGTAGAAGCTATTGTTAGCCTAACATACATTTATATTGTTTGTACTGGCACGAATGGTGTTTCTGAACACTCCAGGTCCTATTTAATGATCAATAATTCAGGCATGTTGGATGATATGCAACATCCATGTTATAAAACTATCCTGCAAGGCAAATGTTCGCATCCTGTGCACATGTTATTTCTGGAATAGGAAACAAACATTGGATTGACCATATCCTGTTGCATAAACTAAACACTCAGGCCTGATATGAAGAGTCAGATGCTGAATCATTTTCTCTGGATAACTCTGGATTAGACCCAAGACTGCATGAAAGTCTCCTCCACTACCCACCGAGCAAGCTGAGGCAACAGCATGGTTACCTAAGCAGCTCATAC